AATCTACAGCAATAAACATTTAATACAATCAAGAATGTTTGATAGAAATCTTTAGATTCACTAACAATTCTCACATTTTTCCTTTCTGTACCTAAACCCAGGACTTTCTACATCATATCAATCATTCCTCACCTGAATTTACCTAAAATCCCATCACTATTTTGTTTCAGACCACCAATTTTTTTCTCCACATTCTATTTTTTCTCTGAACAGCTAAGGAGTCATTCATGTGCTTGTGTAGATTCATTGCTCATCCTGCTACCCTGATGTGCCTTTCTAAAACCTCCCCAAGATTTAATATGGAAAAGTCACAATTTGTGCCTAAAATATTCACAATATAACTATTATATACATATGTGTGTGTGTGTGTATGTGTGTGTGTGTGTGTATATGAATTACCAAAATATTTTTTAAAGTCCACCTCTGGGTGTTGGGAAAATATATAAATTTTATGTTACTCCTTTTACTATCTATATTCTTAATACTTGGCTTATATTTTATGAGCAAAAATAAAATAAAAGTAAACTTCCAATCAACCTTAAGGCCTTTGTAAATTTCCCCTTACCCAATTCCCAAGGCCTCATTTGAGTTTTGTTCTGATTTTGCTGTATTTTTTAAAAACTTTTATTTATTTCTGAGAGAGCACAAGCAGGGGAGGGGCAGAGAGAGGGGGAACAGAGGATCCAAAGCAGGCTCTGCACTGACAGCAGCAAACCTGATGTGGGGCTTGAACTCACGAACCGTGAGATCATGACTTGAGCAGAAGTTGAATGCTCAACTGACCGAGCCACCCAGGCGCCCCTGCTTTTGCTATATTTTTAAGAAACTTCATTTCTTGAAAGAGAGGAAAGTAGCTTCTGAAAAGCTGCATATTGTATCTTTTCCTTTCATCATGTAACATGCTTGCCTGGTAAAGAGCTTTAACATAAAAAAAGATAGATTTTTATAGCTACAAATCCAACATAGAACGGGACATTGAGCAAGATTTTAGTTGGTCCCATTATATCACTGCTAAAATTTTAACTATAAACGATTCAGGAACCTCATTTTAAGTAACAGCTTCTAACTCCTCTCTCTAATTTTCTCAGAACTGCTAAAAAGAAGCAAGACTGAAAAAGTTTATCTTTTCATTTCGCCTTCACTCAAGGGATCGTGGCTGTTGCCAAATATCAGACAACAGAGAGAAAGAAAAAGCCAAAGGAATAAAAATATCTAACAAATGGACAATGGCCTCTGAGTGATGGAAAATTCAAATTATGTGGCACTTGGTGTCGCACAGGTCTTAGGCTAAACAACAAATTACTGAACCATAAGAAGCTATTTCTCTGTGTTCTTCCCAGGCCCTACAAACAGTAGACAAATGAGTCCCCACATTCAAGAATGCATCGGTCTTAGTTCATCCACCAAATATTGGGAAGGAATGTTGCCCTTCCCAAAGCGAAGAATCTCAACATGTAAACAAAAGTGAAATGTCATTCTGATGTCACTACAAGGATCCATATAGACTTTGATTCCTTTGACAAACCCACATAGTACAGGACCCCTTCCACACTTCCATGCCATGGAGGCAAGAGTGCTGTTCCCACTCCCTAACCTCCCTGTAAATACAGCTCTCCAGAGCAAGCCAAAGTCCTTCCACCCAGAATTCTCTCTCTTTCTCTCCCCCCCCCCACAGTCTCTCTCTCTCCCACACACACACATACGTGCATGTCATTTGTGGGTTCTATTATGAGTCTCATGTAAAAATTTGATATTTGTTTTAACACCACAGCCTGCATCCCCAGAATTGCTCTACTCTGTACTCGTTCAATCAATTCTAATTTTTCCAGATCATTTAAATCCTTTCTATTGTCTTACTCTTGCTGAATAACAATCACTCTGCCTGTACTGTCATCGTTTAGTGCCTGAATATAAAAGCCCTTTTCTGACAAAAATTTTCCATCTCTTCTGTCTTCGCATTGTGGCACGGCATGGCACGCTCCAGCGCCCTGACTGCCATGGGATCCCCAATCACACTTAAACATGTCTACCTAAAAGTGACATGGACAATAATATTTTCTAATGAAATCAGATTCCCTACACTGATTTCTTTGTTTTCTTTCCCCAGCAATGAAATATCACTGTGTGGTTACGCAAGTGGAACTGTACCTTGAGTATTTCTATGCAAATTAGAACAAGTACTTGCTGATGTGCACACAGGCACAGAAACACACACAGAGACTTGTAATGAGGTAAGTGTGTAGTAGGAGTGGATCAGAGGGACTTAGATGACTGCAGAGAGGAAATATTGACTCCAGATGACTAAGTCAACATAAAGTGTGAGGAACTCACCTCAGAACCCAGTCAAACTTCATTGCAAAGAATAATACCTTCCAATAGCGTGCCTTCACTGACACTCCTGTTCTCTTTCTCGCTTTTCCTCACTATGTATACCTACATGTGCACACTTCCCCTCAGCCCTAGTCTACACAGCTAATCGCCCGGTGGTAATTGCGATCTGACTGTTACTAAGCTAGGATAGTCATAGATCCCATGTTCATGTATAAATTGCAACCACACTATTAGATAGTTATTATTTTCCTATCTTAGTGATGATGATAAAGGCACAGGACTGCTGTGACTTGGCTATGGTTGTATTCCTCAACCTACACCACAACTCCTGACAAGCAGCCCCTCTCACTCGGCTTCAGCTCTCATCATGTGCTGGTGGCCATTCCTTCCAGTTGCCGCCATAAGCCAAAGAAAGGTATGGGGGCCTCTGACTTTTGTTAGTCATAGATGCTCCATCATTGCTTGTCAAATCTCTTAGCTCTGCCTGTTCTTCTTCATGAACAAATAGCCCCTTCATGAAACTCTCCTCATTACCAAGTCAAAGAAGCAGAGACTTTATTCAACAGCACAAAGGTAAACATAAGAAAGATGATGCAATCAACTAAAAGATGGGTACAGAAGATAAAGAGGAAGGAAGGGAAAAGAGGAAATATCCTAATTTTGTCATTGTTTCCAGTAAGGCATTAGTGGAGACCATCTAAAACCAAGCATTAAAACATTTTTATAGAGTTGTAAGGATAATTTCTTGAGCAAAAACAAAAATACCCATACACAACAGTCTGAACAAACAGGCCACACAGTGAAACAAGTTTTTAAAATAGAGTAACTTAAGACAAAAATGGGACCAAACCTGTTTGTCATGTGACAATGTACTGAACTTGACAGCAAAAAAAAGAGAAGTTTCTACTGATCACAAAGCCTTCTGTTGGCCCAAGAAAATCACAAGGCAAGCCCAGATTCAGTGGTGTGGAAGTCACTTTATCCACTGATGAGAACCACAAAGTCCCATTGCAAATCATGTGGATAGAGACAGAGGGGAACAGTTAGGATCACTGGCCCATCAACCTACCACATAACTCATTCACCAAATTGCTTTCCACAGAAGTAACAAATTACGTTTCCCTCAACAATGTGTCAGAAGTGATTTCACCGCAGATGGTATTTTGTTTCCTTTGGGGTTTATTTGTTGTTTTTAGAGGTTTGTTTTTGTAATCTTGTTCACTTTTGTTTTGCACTTTTATCATAAGGTATATTTCTAAGAATTTTCTCTTTTCAATGATATGAATATTAATTTGTGTCTCTCTATACTATTAAATTCTCTTATTGTTTGGGTAGTTTTTCAACATGGATTTTCCAAGCATACTGTCATGTCATCAGATAACAATTGTACACCTCCCTTCTAATGTTTTTATATCAAGTCCAATGTTTTATGCCCCTGTCCAATTGTGTAAGCTAATATTCCCCAGAACATTGTTAATAATAATGATGCTAATGCAGATATTTGCTTTACTGTTGGCTTTAATGAAAATGTTTTCTAATGTTTCTTAATTAAGAACTTGCTGGCTCTGAGATGAGATAGATATATTTTATCATCTTAAAAGCTTTAACGGCTTTTCATAATCTGATAGTTCCTAAGATGTAGGACTATAATGTGTTTGAGAATCATTCATGAATAACTCTTAGGGAAAAAAAAATCAGAAAATAATCTGCTCTTGAAACCCTCAGAAAATAATCTCAACTGTACAAAAGAATCATATACAAAGATTTTTAGCACTGTGTAGATGGCAATAGGACAACCTAATGCCATAAAGTAGAGGTATGACTCAATGAACTAATGGTTAATGGTGCTACCAAGTAGAGGCAATACAACAGTCATTAAGACATATATTTAAGAAATATGTAATATTCATTATTCAATTAAAAATATAAATTACCTTGTTAAGCATAAATATGCAAAAATATGCACAGAAAAAATACAACACATGGATAATTGTGTAGCTTTAAATAAGAGAACTATGTTTAATCTTTTTTCCTACTTTTCTGTACTTTGAAACTTCAATGAGAATTAGAAAATAAACAGTAAAAAAATATCATAGTTTAGTGCCTGGCAGGGAACCCGATATCAACAAGGAGGCCAAGCATGGACTCCACCCCAACACTCTGAAGACACATCGGTTTTAGATTCAAGCAAAAAAAAGTGCAACCAACTGTTTGACAAATGCTATAGTCAGTCAATTCAGTCAGTTAATTAGTTGGACTGATTTTTTTTCCCAAAATTAGTTGGCAAGAGCTATAATATAATTAGGCGTACTAACTAGATATTTTTGCCTTTCATACACTCAGTTGCAGAACAAGGCTACAGAGGAGGGGATTCTTTTGCATCAGAAACCAGAGCCACAGTTACAGTGAGTGTCTGGTTGTGTCCATTTGGTGATATGGGGGAAGAGTGTAACCAAGTGTATATATTTACACTCTCTTCCTTAAATGCATCAACATACTTCTATTTATTTGACCACTTCTTCCTCTCCCACACCATACACTATAATTATCTAATGTAAGCATTACATCTCTGCCTTTTTTTTCCTAGTTCTATGTATCTTTGAGGGGCAATTTATCATGGTAAGGGAAACGGAAGTACAGAAAAGACTGGCCTCACGACTTACCTAAAGAGGATGCTTTGAACCTCATCCATGGTTACCACTGCTCTAGCTTCAGAGTTCCAGACGGAATCCTGGAAGTGGCAGGATTTTTGTCCATTCCCATCTCTCACATTGCATTTGACTCCATTACTTTTTCTTCTTTTTCTCTCGATTTTATTCCCTTTGTAACAGGTTGCACCTAAACACTGAAAATCATGCCACGTAAAAATGATTAAAAATAGTCATTCAATCAAGATAGGTTGCTCAACTGTCTGTCACGCATCAGCTTCGTGTCTGCCCTTCTCGTTCCTTATGCCAAAATCTTCAAAGATTTTTCTCGACAAAATTTGTAGGTCTCCTACTCCAGTTTTCATTTTCACATTGCTCTTAATATTGGCAGCTTGTCTTTCTACTATCTTTCAACTGAATATTTTTATAAATTAGTCAGTGCTTTTTATATTAACAAGCTGACAGCTCTTTCTGTGTATAATACTTTGCTGACATGAATATAACTTTGATTTGATGTTGACAGACAAATCTGTACCATTGGTGGATTTCGAAATGTATTTCTTTACAGAAACATCACTCAATGATAGCCATGAAGTTACTAGTATGATTGAGTTTGTGTCCGCAAAATTCAGCCATTGACCCAGGCAGAACTTTAGGGTACTAGATAATCATCAACTAGTTAATAAAAATATGTAACATTTACATGCCATTTACAGCATACTTTCTCATTCATACCTTATTCTATCTTTCAAATGACCCTGATAGTGATGTATTATTGTTGCTAGCAGCACATGACAGCAAAAGAACCCAAGGTCAAAAGAGGTGGAGTAGCTGCCTTCCAGAGTCAGTTAATGAACGACAGAAAAGATATTATTGTTCCATCAAATTCTTATCATCATCAATGGGCAGGAACACCTGCTCCCATGAAGTAAGTCTGTTACATGTTAATAACACCAACATTATCCTGCCACTGTATCAAGGTTACTGACTGGTCTACCATGAATATTTTTAATTCCCTCTTCTAATCTATTTTGTATGTGTGTTGTGTTTGCTTCGTTGAGATCAAACTATATGGATATGTCACTTACCTCTTTTTCATGTAAACTATGACATGTGCTCTTTACAAACATCATTTTAAATGTATCCATACTTGTTCATCTCATGTCATTTAACCATATCTTTATTGTTAATCATTCAAGCTTCTTCTAAATGCAGGCATGGGTGTGTTTCAAGCATCACTTTTATGCACGAGGCATTTCACCTTACGTTCTCAGATAAATTTCTATCAGTGAATGGAAGACTACTAATATTTTTTAGGTTCTCAGTACACTTTGGAATGCTTTCCAAAGGCTGTGTGATTTACATTCCCACAGTAGTATATGGGAAAATACTCTTGCCAGTATTAAGTGATTTACATTTTACACTTTCAGAGAAGTTCATAGTCAAGCTTAGTATTTTAATGTTTTAATTGACACCTTCTTTATTCATGATTTAACATTTTCCCATTTTCAGCCACTTTGCCGTTTGTATTTCCACTATTATAAACTGTTTGTTGACCACTTGTTTTTTGAAATTTTAGTGTCTTAATCTAAATATGCAACTAATACATGTGTGTCTTGCTTAAGTTTTGTATATTAAACATTTTAACCTTTTGTCTTTAATATGTATTGTAAATATTCTCCAAATGTGTAGGCTGCATAGTAAACTGGTCTTTAATTTTGAGCAACAGTTTTAAAAAACACGTTTAATTGTAGTGAAGTCTACTATCATTGCCAAAGTAATTTCTTTCTATGCTTTCCAAAATAGAAGATGCCCATGGAGATATTGATAAATATTTATTTGTTTGTTTCTGGACTTTTATGGTTTGAAATTTTATTAAACCTACTACTTTAAAAATTTCAATGAATATATTCTAGTGATATTGACCTGCACTGGTTAATCATTTAACAACTGATATTGATTAATCAACAGTCCTAGTATTATTGTATGACCACAGCTCATTTATTGCTTTGTGATGTTTAATCATCATATAATCATCCTTTTTATTAAAAAGTCTTTTTCTGGTCCATTTATTTTGTCATTTTGTTTAGTTTAATGCCACTTTATAATTTAAATTATTATAGCATTATAAAGACATTAACATCTGAAGAATCTATTTCCTGTTCTGTACTTTCATTTTCAAATATTCTTATTTTATTCATACCTCAGGAAAATGTTCATTCCACCTTCCTTTACATTTTCAGACTCTAAGAAAATCCAAAAATATGAAGTAATTTGTGATTTTATGTATTTTTCTCTGAGAATCCTCTCGTGTTTCTCAGTAGGTTTTGCAGGATTCTTTATTCGATTTTGCTAATATCTATTACTCTTTTCTTAAAAATATGGGAATAAATAGGCACACTTGCTCTAGGACTCTGCAGTGCATTTTATTTCTAAATTTAAATAGTTTTCTACCATGAAAGTGACACATGGATGCAGCTGGAAAATGCAATCACTACAAAAAATTTTTTTCAATCTCACCTCACAGATGTAATTACTATTTTTTTTAATGTTTATTTATTTTTGAGGGAGAGAGAGCATATGAGCTGGGGAGAGGCAGAAAGAGAAGGAGACAGAAAATCCAAAGTAGGCTCCAAGCTCCGTACTGTCAGCACAAAACCCAATAATGGGCTTGAACCCATGAACTGTGAGATCATGACCTGAACCAAAGTCGGACACTCAAGTGAATGAGCCACCCAGGTGCCCCTAGGTGTGATTACTATTAAACATTGTAAGTATCATGCCCCAAATTTTCTACCTAATGCATGTATGTTTAAACACACACACACACACACACACACACACACACACACACACACACACATTTTGGAAGCCTTGCACACATGGTGTTGTCATTTTGATTTTCTCATTTTGCAATATCCTTTGCTAATTGTTTTGAAATGTATTAAACTGATTTCTATTAATTTCTTTTTCATTTTTGAGCACCTATATGAGGAATTCATGAATCTGAAATATGGACTTGTTGGGTGAAATGATAGGTACATTTTTAAAATTTTGAAATACTCTATCAACCTCCCTCTGAAGAATCTCCACCAGTTTTGTACCCTACAAAACAATGCAGGAAAGATAGGCTGTATCTTCCACAACAAGGTGTATTACGAACCTTATACCTAACTATTTTAATTTGCTTCTCTTTAATCCAGAGTGATTTTGAGCCTTTTTCAAGAGACTATAAGGCACGTGTGTTTCTTTATGAAACTTCATCATGGGTTTTGCCAATTATTTCTATTGAGTAGCTTATCTAGTTTTTTTTTTAATTTTTTTAATGTTTATTTATTTTTTGAGAGACAGTGAGAGAGACAGAGCATGAGCAGGGGAGGGGCAGAGAGAGAGGGAGACCCAGAATCGGAAGCAGGCTCCAGGCTCTGAGAGGTCAGCACAGAGCCCAACGCGGGGCTCGAACTCACGAGCCGTGAGATCATGACCTAAGCCAAAGTCGGACACTCAACCGACAGCCACCCAGGTGCCCCACTTATCTCGTTTTTATTAGTAAGAACATAAATGAGGTTTTAGCTGTTATTAAATACATGTTTGAGTGTGGCTTTTGATTTTATTACATGTTTTTGAGTGCATTTTTAAAGTTTTAGTTAAAATTCAGCCATCATTTCATTTACACTTTCTGAGTTCTGTTATTGATTCAGGAAAGCTATCCTCATAATAATATTATTCTTTAACTTAATCTTCTTTAAGTCGTTTTATAGTTTCATTTTACTTTATCACCTAATACACTACCATTTCACAGGCGAGGAAAATACAGCAATAATTTGCCTGCGGTCACAGAGTTATGAGTGATAAATCCAGGGAGTGAATTCAGTTTGCTTGACACCAGAGTTTAATCAATACAATACGTCTATTCATGTCCTAAGGCCAAATGTATTTAATTACTCTCGGCTTTCTTATCACCCCATTACTCTTATTTTTGAAGAATTTTTCTGACTATTTCCTCAGGATTATTTTTTCAGTACACATGGAAACAAACTGTCAAATTCCGTCCAACACCCACCACACTGTCTCTTCCCAAATTGCGACATTCAGCATCATCACACTGAAGGTCTAGGTTAATGTACGAGAACTTGAACTCTTTACTGAGTTTTCCAATCTGAGAAAATGTCTTTCCATTGACTCAAATCTTCTTGTTTGTCCCTGAGTAAAACTTTCTTTGTATACATTCAATAAATTTCTTGACATTTTTGTTGACATTTTTTCCTACTGTCAACGAGAGATTTGATTTCATGACATTTTCCAATTGCTGTTTTGCATACTAAAATGTGTTCATCTTTCATTTTTTTGTGATTCACCTTACTAAATCCTCTCATTGTTTTAGGTAGTTTTTCATTACAATCTCTCCAGTTTTCCATATAAATTGTCATCTCATCTGCCAATAGCAAGAGTTGCCTGTTCCATTAGAATGTTTATATTTCTCATTTCAATAAAATTCTTTAGGATTTCCAAAAAATATTAACTATTACAAGTTCCAGTGCATACCAATGTCTTGTTCCTGACTTTCATGAGAATTCTTCAAGTTTTTTATTAGTTTAGATTTTTTAGAGAACGTTTTCCATGGAATCCTGTAAAATTGGTTTTATTTTTATACAACAGAGACATTTCCAAAGAAATTTGCATTTCCCCAAGAAGGATGTATCTATATAATTCTTTAATATGTATTTAAAACACAATGCTCTCACTTCTAGCAAAAGACAATACTTTTAGTTTGTTACAGTCCAGTCATTTGTCAATCTAAATTTTCTCTAAACTATTATTTTGAGAAATTGATTTTGGTTCAATCGGGCTGTTTAGCCCTTGAATACTTTGTGATATCCCTATATTAAAACTTAGTATAAGGTTCTGAACAATTTAACTTTGTACTCACTTTGATCTTTTATCTTATCACCTCTTTGAAAAAGTTTTAATAAAATTATTTTAAAGTAAAGAATTAATTTCACACATCATGGACAAGACGTCTCAAGTTGTCCCGATCTTTTTCTTTTTAAAAAGAGGGTAGTACGTAACAAGTCAGAATATATGAATACGAAGTCTTTGAAAGACATACAATCTGCTGGCGGTTTTTCTTAGCCTTAAAAAACTTGGCCCTGGCTTTCCATCACTGTAAGAAAAATGATGAACAAATGAAAGGCTC